TCTTTAGTAAGGATTACAGGCCATATATGATAGAAACCAGATTGTGTAAGACTCATCTGTACAATCCAGATTCATCCTCAGAGAAGTGCTGTATTTTAATCATTTTAGTAAAGAGATTAGGAAAATCTCAATAGGAGGCATTTATGTGGTTGTTTGCAAGAAGATAGGTCCTCTTCTTCCAGACAGCAGAGGTCAAAGATGCTGTTCCTATCCAGGGAACAGCATCCAGGGAAATAAATTGGCTTCTCTACAAGTGAAATAGAAGTTGGTTCTTTTTGTTACATGGCAGCCTTATGATGGATGAAACTCGAGCTCACTGTACTGCCATCATTGCAGAAAACAGAGTGACAGCAAGAGACAAAGAGGGAAGACACTATGAATACTGAGAAGGCTATCTCAAAAATGGCTGCTTTGAATGCTTATGAGCCATTCATTTATTTAGAAACATTAAATTATTTGTTCCTTCTACTGAGACATGGTCAACAAATTTTGTAACTTAATTTAATTTATGTTTCTTTTCATTTTCATATTTTTCTACTGCCAATTCAAAACTCTGCACAGCTATCTCTGGACTTCATGTATTGGAGAATTTGCTTCTCATGGTTTTTGGCTAGAAGCATGTTGTATAGCATATTGGCTGAGCCATGATCAACAGAGGCTATTTGAGGACAACAAGTCTGCCACCCTCTGCTATTTATTTAGGAGAAACTAATCTTCCTTCCCACCCCTTTGCTTTTTCATAAAAAAACCTCACCCCAACAATCCTCAGATGTATATTTTGTGCAAATGATAATGCATACAGAGCCATGCAGATGCTAGTGGGCAGGATGTGGGTGTTCATTAAACAGCCAGATGTTAATTCAATGCAAAGTCCGTCCCCTGAACAACTCATTACGGCCTACCTTCTTTGATCTTATGTGTTTCAGGATTCTTTTTAATTCACATTTTTGCCATCCAATCCCCTCTCCTTATTTAGTTGGCAACAGGTATGTTTAGAAGTGGAATTGCTAATCAAACCTATTAGATTTTTTAAAAGTCAAGAACGCTGTTAAAATTTGAAACTCCATCTAAACTTACAGGTAAAGGAAAAACAGGATATAATATATTATAGCCACTTTTTTTCCCCACTTACCTAACTTAATAGAATTATATGGTTGCTCATCTTGAAAGTGCGACTCTGGGTGACTACAAAATATAAGAAGAATATACAGGTAATCCTCAAATTACAACCACAATTGAACCCAAAATTTCTGTTGCTAAGCGAGAAATTGGTTAAGTGAGTTTTGCTCCATTTTATGACTTTTCTTGACATAGTTGTTAGGTGAATCTGGTTTTCCCATTGACTTTGCTTGTCAGAAGGTCACAGAAGGTGATCACAGACCCCGGGACACTGCAATCGTCATAAATATGAGTCAGTTGCCAAGCGTCTGAATTTTGATCATGTGATCATGGGAAAACTATAACAGTTTTAAATATGAAAAACGATGATAAATCACTTTTTTCAGTACCGTTGTAACTTTGAAGAGTCACTAAACAAACTTTTTTTAAGTCGAGTACTGCCTGTACACCAAATGCTAATAGAAGACAAATATCCTATGGCAACTATGGAAACCAGCAACCCATCCATCTGGGCTCATCTAAACTCCCAGCCTCCTTGTCTGGGAAAATAGCCAAGACTTAAGGGAATTCCAAACACAGTCTTTATATCCAGTCATAGAAATAACTTCTTTTATCTGTGTTTTCAGAACTTGGAGAAGCTTTGAGCTATGAGTTGTTTCCTATGAGTTGTTTCTTCATGCTGAAAGCAGGGACTTGAACATTGGCAAGTTCCCGCTAGAAGCACTAGCTGGCATTCTCTTGAATCAGCACTGCTAAGTGCATTAAGAATGGGTCTTACAGTACATCTATTTTCCAGGGTTGCCAAAAAAAAAAAGAAAGAAAGAAAGAAAGAAAGAAAAGAGAAAATAAGGACTTGATTCCTGGCATGAATGTGTTTTAAAAGCTGAAGCACAGAGCAAAATATTATCAAGGTTTATGTTTGTCAGCTAGTGGAGAAAATAGCTTTGAAAGTATAAACATTCCATCTTTGCTCAGTTTATATGATTCACTTTGTCCTAAAAATTCAGGATGGCTTATTACTTGAAAACAAATTCAACATTAAAAGTAAGCAAAGTAAAAAAAAGAACACATTAAACAATGCTGACCATAAGAAGTGCTTTATTAATCTCTGATATGAATTTATATGACTGTCCATTCTAATCAAATAACTCAATGTAGCATAAAAATAGAAACAAACAGAAACAATTAAAAAAAAACAATAAAAGATACCAGGTTTTTTAAAAAAATGTACTCAGTCAGCACAAGATAAAAATGCAAACCATCTCTAGACCTAATACCTGAGGGAAAAGGTAGATTTTTAAGGCCTTCCGGAATGCCAACAGAAATGTGACCATCCAAACATCATGGGCTAGGTGCCACAACAGAGAAATTTTGAAATTTCTAGGTTCTTTAAAGTTGCTCTGTTTTCATGGAAGGCATTTGGAGCTTACTCACCCTGCTGGATCTGGTGAAATAAGCAGAAGCCATCAGACACAGGCAATCCATCAGGTATCTTAGCCCTGTGCCATGTAGGTAATAAACTAGAACCTGGAATTGCACTCAGAGGTTTACTGGAAATGAGTGCACTTCAGATATCAGTGATATTATGATTATGCTGCTAGATACAACCTCGTGCCAGCACATGACTTGACCCTGCAGTTTCATATAGATTTTAAATAGGAGTGGAGAATGAAGGTCAAGCCCTGAGGCATCTTGCAAACCAGAGTCCCAAAGCTCTCTCTCTTTCCCTATCAACACTGAATGAACTAACCTCAGAGGAGAGGAGGAGAACTGTCAAAGAGCAAGAAGATACTGTGATAATGTGGTATTGAGAGCCATAATTTCTAGCATCTTATATTTTCAGTGTTTTGAGTTCAATAAAGGCGAATTTGTAGCTCAGGGTTGAAACGAGGGATCTCTGAGCTTGGTTATTTTCTTGCAGACTTTTCATTACCCAAAGTAAATAAAATCATCAGTACTAGTAGGGAATGGAGTTTGCTCTCAATTTATATTCTGGTGGCTTCCCTGTCAATGTTAGTGGGAGTGGAGGGCTGTTTTCTGTTGGCTTGTTTGCCATTCCTTGATTGGGGTACAGTTTACTTCTTAATTGTTGGTCTGATGTTAATCTTGATGTTAATCTATGCTCATTTGGGTGTTGATTGCTGGTGGGAAAGACCAAAACACCTCCCTTTGGCACTTGTTCCAGGGTTTCCAAAATGACCATACTGGCTTGGAATTTGGGCAGTTTTATTCTCTACAGTTCAAGGGGGATGGATGGTTGAGGAAGTTTAATGTAATTTGTATTTCAGAAACTAGATTATAGTTTGGACATATCCTGTGTAAAATTACAATTTTTGTTGATATAGATGGTACATATTGTGGCTGATTTTTTTCCACCATTTATGTGAACATAAAATTAAGAAGAATAGCGCAACAATAGTTTTGGGATGGGAATAGGAAGTGAACAGGGAGCAGGAGTGGGCAATATATACCTACCACCTGGCATAAAAATGTCAGCAGCATCACAAAAGCAGTAATGGCTGTACCATATTTGTCATCTAATATATGTCCATGAATATTATGTGTAGTTAATTTATCATTCAAAGGATAGGAGTTGCTGTTCTCCTTCTAGAAATGCTTCCTTTGGGATTGTAAAACAAGCCAGGGATATTGTGTTAAGAAACCCAAAGGACTTTGAGGTGAAAGTGCTGAAAATACAGTTAACTGCATTAGGCTCAAAAAACTGACTGACTGTAAAATGTCTCTTGTTGAAAGATCTCACATAAATTAATGAAATTAATGAAATGACTGTGTGCCTGCTTTTCAGGGAGGAGTTAGCAGGCCCTATGATATTCCATTCGCAGCTAGCAGTCTGTTTGTTGTGATTGTACTGTAAAAGAAAATAAATTAAAATGTTTAAATTATTAATATAATCCCCCCAATAATCAGTGCTGTGATCATTTTAGTAGCTTAACTGACAGTGAAAATAATTAAGATATTTTTACCTGGATTAATTCATGTTTTATTTATCCAAATTTACAAACTCGATTAGCACTTTTAGTGAGTAAAAAATAACAAAGTCCTTCTGGATGTCTCTCCCAAGGATTTCACAGCGTAAGGATTTATCATCTTACCTAGTTGGATAAGCAAATGTCTGCAAGCAAGCTCAGAGAGTATTCAGGACTCTTGAGCTACATATATTATTTTTTCTCAAGAATCTCAGATCTCCTCCCCTCCTCTCTCCTCTCCTTCCACAATATATCAGAACTCAATGGTCTCTCTCTATATGAAAAACAGAATTCTCTGCCATTTAACGTTTGGCCTTTTCCAAAAGTAGCTGAGCTTGGAGTAGGCTTATAGATAAACCAGGAAGAGAAAATGCGGAAACTTAAATTAATGACACCTTCCTCACGATAATTTAGAAGTGGAATCAGATTGAAATCTTTCTCAGATTTTTTTAACCACTGCTGTATGTCATACGGTCTTTTTGAAATGAATCTCACGCCATTTGGAATTGGTGCTCAAAGCAGGGGCTATATAATTTAGCACAATGAAATATGGATCAGCTCCTTGAAGGAGTTCATTGATCTGTTAAGCACTCTCAGTGCTTTGCAATTGGTTATATATTTTATTTCAGAGCCTTAAAGCCCTTTCCCATTTTCACAAGATGCTGAACCATTTATAAATTTGATCTCATGGTGTCTGAAAATGATAAAGAACATTGGATTGGCTGAATATATCATAGCATTCATGTTAAAGATGGGAACATCACCCTGGAATACCAAGAAACTACAACCTGGCAATTCCTAATCTTGATATAGTGCTCAGGAATGCATTTATTAATTGTAACACAATGGTAGAGAAAAATATATCTTCAATGCTATGTGCCTTATGTATTTTAGGAGCGGAAACTATGCGCCCATCCTAGACTGGAGATCTACAAAGGAGATAAAATCTATTTTATATGCCCCCTTGCACGTCAAGGGGACTTCTACGTGCCTGAAATGAAAGAGTTGGAGAAGAAAAACAGAGCAGCCGCAGCAGCAATAGAAACTGATGATGATCAAACAGATATTACAGGTACCTATGAATTATAAAGTGTGCAGTGCTTTGAAGTGCCAAGGAAGTCTCCTTCACCGTTGTTAATAACAAAATATACATGTTAAGAACATAAACAATTTATTTTGTAGATATGCAGCTATCTGCTTTAAAGCAACATAGCTTCAACTAAGCTAGCATCTTGATTCTAACTGCAAGTAGATTTATTGAATCACGGACAGAAATCTTTCCTATGATTTTTACACCCTCAATTATAGATTCAAGAAAAGGACCTTCTACATATTTTATCTCAAGAGCTATTCTAATAATGTTTTATGCTGAGATAATGGCATTGACCTTTTCCAAAGTATACGCATATACATAATCTAGAATCAGACTGGAGCGCCTTCCTTTTTTTGGGGTAGGTGGGTGGAGGTATGGCATTGTGCAATGCAGGATAGTCTTAGTATAACAGGTAAACATATTGGATTATGATGAGAAGAATGTGAATCAGGTTTCCTAGTTACATAAAATTCCTAGTCGCAAAATGCAATTATCCTTAATAATTGTCAGAGATGATATGTACTGATTTATACATGGTTGCCTTAGCTTAGATATTATTTACTTTATGCATGCTTTCTCTAACAAAGTTTTCAAAGTATTGTAATAGCAGGTGTACCTAAGTTAACAGAATCTTTTCACGTTTTGGTTAATCTGCTGCTTACTGCAGTTCAAACCTTTTGCAGGATTGAAGAGCAATAGCTGTACATCACCTTAGTGTCTTCTAAATTGAATTGAATGAATCCTAAAGACCTAAAGGATATTTCTTCTTTTGTCAATACTAATTTCTTCCTCCTTATTTTGATGGGAACAGTGCATGTTTCTAATCCTCATGGACTGCCTTAATGTCAAAGAATACTCACAATGTGTCATGCTGCTACAACAATTGTGGGATAAAAATGAACAAACCATGCTTATTATGGCAGCGGAAAAGAAAAGGAAGTACTGTTAGAATTGCTTAATTCTCACTTTGTTCTGAGAGTAACATTGCCATTCTTCAAAGCAGTGCAAGCTGATCAATACAAATATATTTTATACTATAGTTCAATGAATCTCTTTCTCTCTCTCTTTTTTTTAACTTGTTCAGTGGATTTAGCCTTTGTCCCAAAGCTCCACTGCTAAGTGGCAAATTTTATGCTATAAAACAGAAAGTCCAGGTTGAATTCTTGGTATACCAGGAATATCTGGAAAGGAGTTTTTGTTTAAAACTCTGATGAACTGCAGCTAATCAGCATAAACTAAGTTAATTAAAACCACGGTCTTCCTCATCATAAGTCAATTTCTTGGGTTCTTAATACTATTGCTTTTCTTCTCCTTTAGTTCTTGGACAGAGCAAATTATCTGCTGAAATGGTCAGATATTAATTTTGCTGTCTTCTTTGATGCTCTGTATGGTTTGCAATATTCATGCAGAAACAATCACTAGAAGCTTGACTATCTGACAAAGCACCTACGGATGCTTAAATTGGTAGCTTTTCTTAAATAGTTCTGAAACACAATTTTAGTTGTTTGAATTTCATGCCTCTTTCAATCTCTAGTTTCCAGTTTAATTGGATTTTAATATCTTTAAATGATGACATTATGACTTAGATCACTCTCAAACATTATCTTTGAATTCTTGATTGCTTTCTTGGTAAGCAAAAGACATTTTTTGTCTAAATTACTGGCCAAGGGTCTTTTGCATTTGATTTATGGTAGCTCTGAAATTGAGATGGCAAAGAAAATGAAGGGAGAGGAGTCTGCTGATCTGCCAGCAAAGCAGAAAGACTTTGCTGTGTCCATCCCCCATCTGTAGAAAAGGAAAAGGAAAACAAAGCTAAACTTTTCACTTTTTTAGCAAGACTTTCCTGTGATATACACATTTTAGAATGATCGTATTTATACAGATAAAAGTTTCAGTGGAGAATTTGTATCAACATTTGAGAATTTAAACCAGAGGTTCACAGTATATATTTTAGTTTTTTTAAAAAAATCATAATCCTGGTTATGATGAATTATGAACAAGAATTATTCCATTTGAAAATCTGATAAGCAATTTGCATGACAATTTTTTTTTTTGAAATTAAAAGAGTGAAGAGATCTGCCTACAGAGTTTTTACCACATACATAATTTATATTGTATAAATATTTCTTATACTGGTAAGCAAGTATATATAGCAACTTCCATAGAAAAAGGTGTAAGAGTTCATCACTACCTGAGAATATATACTTGAAACTAAAGTTGGTTATTTTATGGGTTTCTGGTTCTATTTGGATCAAAATAACAATCTTATTGTTGCAAGAAACCTGAGAGTTATCGCATGGGACTAAATTCTGCATTTGTTACGACAAATCAGAAACCTTGAATTGAATTGAAATCTTTGAAAAACAAGGATGATACTGTGTTTTCCTGATTTTCCTTCAAAAACAGTCCACAAGTAGATTGAAGTCCATTTGCAGCAAAGCAAAAAAAGGAATCACATGTTCTTTTCCACTAACACTAATTTTAATCCCTGAACACTGACATGAAAATCATTACAGCCCACTTGCTGTTGAATATTGTTTCTGGTTGTGAAATCATGTGACAATCTTTTCAATGCTTTCATTCTCCATGCCCCGTCCCCACTAGTTCTTAGAGGGGAATAACCTGATCTGGATAAGGGATCAGTTTGAGGGATCAGTTCCTTTACTGTCATTTGAGTGTGCCCCAATTCAGTGTCCCAATAGACTTTGGCAGGAGGGTTTTTTTGTTTTTGTTTTTGTTTTGTTTGCTTTTAATGTCGTTTACTTTTTCATGTTTTATTAGTATTTTTTTGGTAGATTAGTGCATTTAATGTTTTCTCTAATAGCTTCCTTAAACCTTCAACAAAGTTTGGTTTGTTAACTATCTTATGGCATTTATGAAATCGTCACATATAACTATCACTGGCTTTGAAGCTTGGGTTCATGTGCTGTTATGTTACTTGCTGATCTTATTTCCACTTTGGATGGAATAAGACCACATGAGGATTGAATGAAGATAAAAATGCTACTTCATCGCCGCTACATTGAGTTGTGTTGCCTCGCCATTTTCCTATTTTCTTACCCAATTTTTCTGTTTTACTGCTAACATTTTAGTTGCACTGCAATTCACATTTCTTCAGTTAGTCTTTTATTTTATAAATACCTGACACTGTTGATTTTTTATAGCACAGTCTTCACAAACATACACTATGTAATGGATACCTTTGGGTAATTTTTCAATCAAATGTAACTAATATTTTAGCTCAGATTTACGCTCTTTTTCTGTCTACTCTGGAGACCTTCAAAACCAATGTAAAATAATTGCAAAAATAAAAAACCCAAGATCCTTTTCTATCCATCTCAAATGCCTTTGAAACCCTAATGGAAAATGTATTATAATTACACTAGTGCTCGGAGATCAACAAAAATTCTGTATGCCAAGATTACCAACAGAAACAGTACTGTATATGTAAAAAAGAAATATTGCTAGTGCATAACTAGCAATTAGTGCATAACCAATATTGTCAGTGCAGAAACAACTGACTGACTTGGACAGCTTTGAAAACAGTGGACTTTATCTTTTATTTGGAGTAAAATACAGATTCACATTTTATTCATGACATCTGAAGTAAGCTGAACGGAGGGTTGTAAAATAATGATTATACTATATAAATAATTAAGATGCCTGTTTAGCTCCAAGAAATAATATACAAAATTAAATATATGAGAACAAAAAAGCTCCTACTCCAAATAGTTATGCCATTAAGTGATATAAGATCCACATTGCATTCTTTTCCCCAATGCAATTGGAAGTCTGTAATAATACGAACTTGTCGTCACCTTTGTTGAGGAATACAGTATAATATAATATAATCACAATTTGAAAGACTGGAAAATATCCTGCTGATGTGCAGTCTGTCATCTCATTTCCTTGTTAAACAGTGATGCAAAAATACTGAACCCAAGGAAATAGATTATGGGCAATATTAAGCATGGTGTTCATCCTGTGTAATCTGGTTTTAGGTTACTATGGATCTGATAACAGATTACAATTGATGTGATTATACATTCACAAAAATTGTAATTAGCAATAGTTTCATTAGATGTTTATTGGATGCTGTAATGGTGTGGGCAGTTTTTGCATTTCTTGTTACGCCTATGTAACATTGCTGTTCCCCATACTGCTTTGGCTCACAGTAGGCTTCCAAGTACAATTCAAGGTGCTAGTCTACATCTATAATGCCCTCCATGGTATAGGGCCAGGCTACTTATAGGAACACCTTTCTCTTTCCTGCCTGCCTCATCAAATCTATCAGCAAGGGCACGCCCAGGCCCCTTCTATTAAACAATGCCATCTTGCTGGATTATGAAATCATGCCTTCTCAGTGGCAGCATCTACTCTATAGAACAACAGAAGGAAGGGAACACTCCAATCCCACCAGCCTTTCACAAGGCATTGAAGGCTGTTTCCCAGGCATTGGATCAAAAGTAGATGGACTCCACTATTCAACATAGTGTAACAGAGTTGGAAGGGACCTTAGAAGGTCTTCTAATCCAACCCCCTGCTCAAGCAGGAGACCCTATACCACTTCAGACAAGTGGCTGACAAGTCTTTTCTTAAAATGGTGAAGCATTTTAATGATAATAATGATAGAGTACCCACAACCTCTGAAGGAAAGGCATTCCACTGATTAATTGTTCTCACCGTTAGGAAATTTCTCCTTAGTTCTAGGTTGCTTCTCTCTTTGATTAGTTTCCATCCATTGCTTTTTGTCTTGCTTTCTGGTGCTTTGGAAAATAGGTTGACACATCTTTGTGGTAGCTTTTCAAATATTGGAACACTGCTATCATGTCTCCTCTAGTCCTTCTTTTCACTAGGCTAGACATTACCCAATTCCTGCCACCATTCTTCATAAGTTTTAGCCTCCAACCCCCTAATCATCGTTTTGCTCTTCTCTGCACTCTTTTTAGTGTCTCAACTTCTTATTTATATTGTGGTGA